AACAGCTGACTGCGGGAGGTGAGTCAGAATATGCGGCGGGGTTGTCGCCTGAGCCCGAATTTAGTCCGAATTGCAGCATCATTAATGCAGCGAAACTGCACCGCTGGTCGATCAGAAGCGCGCGCAATGCAGGTCGTGACACGGCCCGAGTATTTGAGGCAGGTCCCGTTTCGCGCCGTCGAGCGTTAAAATTTGGCCCTAGATGCATTCAGAAGCTGCGCGCATGAGAACGCTCACGAGGGGAAACTTTGAGAGTCTAATGCGGACGAACTCGCAAAATCATAAGCTTAATGTAAGCAAACCACTCCGATATTCTTGCCTTGCTTACCTGGACCACACGCTACTGATACTGTCACTCGGGTAGTTATGAGCCGAATTTTTGCGAAGAAATCATTGAAAAAAATTGTTCTGTTCACAGGGCTCCTGCACTTCTTTTGTAACAGTCACAGAGGCTTCCGCTATGAGGACAGAGTATTCTGTTCCCACGACCGAAGTTCTGTTCTCACAACAGAAAAATTCTGTAAGTGTAACAAAGAAACTGCAGGAGGTCTGTGAACAGAAGGTTCTGTCGTCAGCACTATCTATTTTTTCTGTAAACCGTGCAGAAAATATTCTGACGGCAGCCTGAAATTTCAAACCATGAGCGCCTCAGAGGCCTCGCAAAGTCTCTGTTGGTTAGGCCGCGTAGCGCCTGGGAGGCGTGCCCCCTGATTACTGACTATGTACACTGAAAAAAAAAAATATCGGTGTATTTACTAAGAAAAAGGTAAAATTACCAAGAGTTCAGGGTTCTATTTGATCCCAGTCTTTTTCTTGGTAAAATTACCATTTAGGGAATTGGTAATTTTACCGAGAAATCTCGGTAAAATCATTGAACTTTCTCGGTAATTTTACTGGACCTTGGTAAAAACGCCAATATTTTTTATCGACTGTGGTAGAATTACCGAGATAAAATTGCAAAGTTACCGGGAATTGATTACCAATAAAAGTGGTATTCTTACCTGAACAAAAGTAGTAAAAATACCGGTTTTTAGGTAAGCTTACCAGTCTATCTTGGTAAAATTACCAATAATTGGTAAAATAAAGTGAGATGGTAAAGATACCAACGGACCTTGGTAAAAACGCCGAGAATTTTTCTTCAGTGTGGGTTAGGCCGCGTAGCGCCTGGGAGGCGTGCCCCCTGATTACTGACTATGTAATGATTTACATTTACTGGCTCTCATTCTTGACGACACAGTGCCCAAACAAAAATATCTGAATTTTTGCACATCTTGACAACAAAAGTATGACTTCGTCACATGAATTAGAATCCTCCGGATGAGAATGAATGGCTGTGGGCCTTGGTCGGCCGTTACTCCATAAGTGCTTTAAGATTCCCCCGGCGTGAGTGGAGGGGAGGGGGAGGGGGGTGTAGTTAAACGGACGCCGCCGTGCGCCGGACGGCCACCGCGTACAGACTGCGTTACTGCGTAGCGTCGCGGCGCGCTGTAACCTACAGCAATGCCGCTAATTACGGTGTAAAAATTCAAGTTTTACGAGACGAGAATATTCATAAGTGGGTTAATGTGAATAGCTACCGCTTCTGGAGGCAACACTGTGTCTGGCGGAAGCCGGTGGACCGTTTTTGGATAAACAAAGACTTCGAATCTTCTGTGCCAAGGAAGAACGCCGTATGAGCAATGAGCATTCAGGAGTTTCCAAATTTCCTTCAATTACAAACTAATTCACTGAAAAAATTCTGAATATTTTTCTCCTAATTTTTCAAATAATTTAGTTCGCAACTTGATAAAAAATATCTGAAATTTTCAGGAAAAATGTTGGTGTGTCGTATGGAGGCACGGTGGATGGTGATAAGTCAATAAATAAACGTGTCGCGTTGGCCTCGGCCAGCGCCTCACCTGAGATTTCGTAGATCAAAAGGACCTATCTAATTCAATATCATTTGTCAGCATATGCATATGCATGACAGGTATCATGTCACAATGGAAATACTTCCTTTTGATTTTTGATTTTTTTTTTTTTTTGTATTTTTTTGTATGCTGTTTTAGGTTTTACATCCAAGGGATACTACGGTCTTGGAAGGGTGCTTTTGATTGAAAAACGTCCAAATCATTGTCGGATCAACTGAAAATCTATCCGTGACGCTTGTTCGAATAACAACCTTTCCTTGTTAGGACGTATTTAAATTAAAAGGAACTACATTTATCGTGACATAATCCTTGTTAGCCCTAGCCATGTATTCATGAGGGTCTGAGGGCTCAAGTCAGAATGGCTACAGTTCCTTTTGATTTAAATACGTCCAGTTGTCTTTCACCGAAAAAATAGTGAAGTTGATTGAACATTCTGGGTGTGAAAAACGTGCGCGAGAACTTTCAAAATGCTGAGTTAACCGCTAAAGCAGTTACTTTAACAATATCAAAATGTAAAACGAACTGCTGTAGCGAGTAATTCAGCATTTTGTGAGTTCTTACATACTTTTTTTACATCCAGATTGTTAAATCAACTTCACTTTTTTCTCGGTGTATAGTCTCCACTTGAATCAAGGGAACTTTCATCGCGCATCACTTTTTCATTTTGTTGACAATGCTTTTTATGTCGATCCGCAGCTGTCTCTTACTATGTAATTGTATTTTTGCCTCCGGCATTTTTATTTTTACCTACAGGGGCCGCCCCCCTCCGAGTATAACGCCAGTTTGGCATTGCTCGGAAGTCAATGCTCTCGGCTTGTTTACTAGTGCATTCTCTATCGACGCGCTCATACGTGACGCGCGCGAGGAGATGCGCGCGAGGAGATGCGCGCGGCCTGACCTCGCTGCACCGCCGGGCTTCAATGACCATACGTGACGACCGAAATAAAATTATGCTTGGATTCAGAAAAGCTTGCACCTCGTAGAGACGACAAATCAGACAGACATTTTGACTCTCACAGAGGTGAGAGTGGTGTTGCGGAATCTTCTATCGCACTTCGCCAAGTGTCGCCGCGGGTCACCGAAGAGAGCGGTAAGGCACGAGGCGCTTTTGGAAGGTTGGGCCGCGTAGCAGCCAGAGGAGGCAGCACTGAAAAGAAAAGGATTGCTAATTCACCGATTTAGGGTGGAGCAAAATTTGCTTCATTTCGTAAAGCTTTCTTATCCGTGCACGGTGTTGAATCAAGTGAACGACTAGCACGAATTGCTACACCGATTTGCTACATCTGCGCGCCTTCATGCAGTTAATCTTGCATCGAGTGGCTTGGAAGTGAAACTGCATTTTTTGGTATTGGTACTTTGCGAACAGTAAAAATAGCGCTGGTAAGCTGAAAATTGGTAGGCTGAAATAGCGGAATTTACGGAAAAATAGCGAAATTTACGGAAGAATAACTAAAAAGGTAACAGACGTAGCTTTTCAGAGAGCAAAATCACCTACACGCGTGTGTGTAAGTTAGCTGAAATTTGTGTAGCGATTTTACCTGCATGGTTTGCACGTTCGTTTTTTGGCTACAACATGCCATGAAATACCCGCGAGCACGGCAATTTCAGCAATATTTTTTTTTCAGTGAGCCCCTTGGTTGTCGATAATCATTCACAGGACTCTTGAAACTTGTTCGGACGGTTGAATATCGACGGATTTTAGTTGCGACCACGTAAACACGATTTTACCAATTAAATGTTAAGCAGTGGGTCAGTTGCGCAGGTCATAGAATCGTTTTTGATGCATAATTCTTGTAGGTAGTGTATGTCTCTCTGACTGATAAAACCAAGATGGAAGAAACCAAGAATGTCCCTACCACGGTGGATGACGTCATAAACGGACTTTTTCAAAGCGCGGTATCTCGGTTTATATCGAACGTAGGGAATTGCTGTTTGGACAGATCTCTTTATTTTTAGCTGATCCACGAGAATCAAGGATCAAAACACGATTCTGTGACCAGCGCAACTGACCCATTAAGTAGTATGTGTAATCATTTGCATGCTCTAATTATTAAATTTTGACTAACAATAAGTAGAATTTTCAATTAGACATCGGCAGAAAATTTAGGGTGGAAAATTGGCAAGTATCATTTTACTCAAGACGGCAGTAAATGCAGCTCTCACTTGCTGAATGTGGATTTTCTGCTGCTTTCTCTGCAAATGCGTTAATTTTTGCGCACGTGCTGCTAGCTGCTTTCTTATAAATTAAATTTTTTTTTACAATTAAGACGAATGTTGCTGTTTTAGCTGAATCCTGCTGCGGACCGATGGTGGGAACTTTCGGGTAACTTTAGGGTCTCTCGTGCGTTGGCATTTGTTGGTCTATTAATTGTCTCATTTGTCAATTTCAAACAACCGCGTCCTGCTTCGATCACTGGATAAAAAAACACATTGGATCTAAAGTCCAGACTCTTGGAAACATTGATAAGAAAATGGACTCTTGATTCAATCAGATTTAAGCTTAAATCAAAAGGAAATCCGCTCAAATTAAGAGGCTTGGTTTTTTATTTAAGCTTAAATCTGGTTGAATCAAGAGTATTTTTTCTTGTCGATGTTTTTAAGAGTCTGGACTCTATATCCAATGTGTTTTTTTTTCCAGTGATCAGTAGAATCGCTCCATTTCATTTCTGTCTCCTTTGCCCATCCCTTGGTCTATCACTGGTAAAAAAAACCTCTTGGTTCAAGAGTGCAGTTTCTTGTCGCCGGATTTAAGAGTCTGGACTCTTGTTTCAATGCAAAATCCGCTTGAATCAATGCAAAATCCGCTTGAAACAAGAGTTCAAGACTCTTAAATCCGGCGACAAGAAACTGCACTCTTAAGTCAATGCATAACGGCATTGGTCCAAGAGGTTTTTTTTACCAGTGATCCCTTGGTCTATCCCATGGTCTATCCTTTGGTCCATCCCTTGGGGGATACCTTGGTCTATCCTTTTGCCCATCCCTTCGTCTATCAATTTGTTTATCCATTCGTCTACCCCTTTGTCTACCCCTCTTTCTACCCCTGTGTCTCTCAATTTCAACCCGCACTGGGATAGTAAGATAAAGGCGTACCTGGTTGGGGTGCAAAAGCATCTGCTGCGAGTTGTTGTACTGGAGCGAGCTCCTGGCGTGGAAGCTGCGCTGCCTGCTCAAGGCGTAGTTCATCTGCTTGGCGGGGTTGTGGTGGTGGCCGTGGTGGCCGTGGTGGTGCTGGGGGTGGTGCTGGTTGGGGGCGCCGCGGGGGTCCTCGCTGTAGCCAGCGAAGGCCGCGCTGGCCGAGGCCGAGTGCTGCAGGTTCATGTTCATGAGTGACGTCACTTCGGCTCAGCCGTCGATAAGTCAAATGACCAAGCCAAATGACCACACGTTCGTTTTCTCGCTTTCGAATTCGTCGAGTCGGAGTTAGTGTCGCCGAGAATCAGTCCGCGCTCCTGTCATCATTGTCGATCGTTTCGTTCTGCCCGTGCGCCTTTCTAACTTGTGCCTGAGGAAACGCAAAATATAGTGTTTTAGGCGAAAGAAGACACTGAGGGGTGACATTAAGGGTGGAAGAACTAAAAATATGACCTGGCTACTGCAAGGAACAGTATAGTACAGCAGTCTGCCGGCTGATTGTCGAAATTGATAGACAAAGCTATAGACAAAGAAGACAAAAGCTATAGGGAGAGATCCTATTGGTGGAAGTGAGTGGTTGCAATGGACATAGGGGGAAGGTGATAGACTAACTAACGGCAACCCACGAAAGACTGTGTAGTTAGTCCATCATTTACCCTCTTAATCGATAATAACCACACTGGAAAAAAAAACACATTGGATCTAGAGTCCAAACTCTTGAAAACATTGACAAGAAAAAGGACTCTTGATTCAATCAGATTTAAGCTTAAATTAAAAGGAAATCCGCTAAGATTAAGAGGCTTGGTTCTTTATTTAAGCTTAAATCTGATTGGATCAAGAGTATTTTTTCTTGTCTATGTTTTCAAGAGTCTGGACTGTAGATCCAATGTGTTTTTTTTCCATTAGTGCACCCATTTTGACCAATAGGATCGCTCCATACTCCCTATGTCTTCTTTGTCCATCGTTTTGTCTATCAACTTCAACAATCAGCCTTCTGGGTCCATCAAACACACAAAAGAATGGGTGCGCTTCGATAGCGTTAAAAGTATCCGCATGGTCTCACACGGCTAAGAAAGAATGATGGTAGATATTAGACTGTCCGGCTACATAATGAAACATACAGCGTGTTAACTGAGCGCACAGGTGTGTTTTTGGCAACCCGCCATTTGAATCGATGCCTACTAAAAGGGAGCAAGTCCACAAACTCATAAGCCCTAGTCTCCTGCGTAATCAACGAAAGGGAGGACTCATTAGTTTTTGGACGTGCGCCCTTTTAGCAGGCATCATTTAATTTTAAGAACTGGGCAGAAACATGATGTCACTGCACGTAGTACGACTACGGCGCTTTTCCGGAGAGATTTTTTCTTGCGGTGGGTACGATCCAAAGTGAAAGCATCCACAATAGTAACATGCATGTACGTGTTTTTATTTTGTAGGGAGCTATGGGATTTTTCTGGCTCCACTGTAATAGTAATTAAAAACTTTGACAGTAATCTTCTCAAAAAGCAAATTAGCCACTCGTGCAGTTTTTCTACTTCACTTCCATCCACATGTACCCTAAGGTAAAACGTCTAAATAAACATATTTTTGCGATGTGTTAAATGAAGATTACTCATTGACAGGGCAATACGAGTTCCTCAGTGCGTACATTTCAACAGTTTCTTACCTAATTTGTAATTTAGAAAATGGTCACTGCTACCAGGAATCCTCGCTCTACTTAAGGGAAAAGTCTGCATCAAATGAAGTTTTCTAATTTGTGCATTGTGACAGTCTTTGAACATTATTTGGGAGCGTATTTATGTTAAAAAGAACCGTCTTCAAATAAAATTGAAGCAAAGGTAGTTATGAAGCTCTTAAATCTTACACACATTTCTTTTACAGTATAAAAACAACCGAGCAGTGTTGAAAAAAAACTGTTAAAATGTGCTAAGTAGAGAGCTCTTCTTGCAAACTTTTCAGCACTGACTGTTGAATTCGGATGTAAAAATGCCACTCTCATGCCAAAGGAAATAAACGCAAATGTATCGAATCAAAATGATTTGTAGAGCATGTACATTTTTTTGTCCATTCTTCCTTTCGATTTGCATATTTATGGCCAAAGTTCGAAACTATTTTTCTTCGTTTGCGACGTTGCAGACTTACTTTGTTTTCCCTTTGGAAAACTAGAAACGTTATTTCTTAAAAACCTCTTTGATTTTTCTTTAGACACTGTTAGCAAATTATTCAGTGTAAATTTCAAGCTATTAAGTTGGCTTACTTCTCCTCGAAAATAAAAAATGAGCTGAAATTTTGAAACATCGTGGTGGAAATACGCATGGTTACGCATTTTGGTCAGCTAAATAGCTTCTATTAGCAGAAATACAGCAAAATAACGTTAAAAAACTTGAAAAAAAAAACAAATAAGCAAAATAGCAATGAGCAATAATGTACTTTGTACTTTCTTCGTGCAAACTACCCTTACTAATTAGAAAACCCCCCTCGCATGCCCATTATCATCCAATTTCACATCCACGTTTCAACATCCAATACTATCAGAGATCTTGCCTCTACTTACCTACACAAAAATCCTTCGGATCACTATTCCATCTCTAGAGACACTTGAAACCGGGACTGTGCGACACGTGAATCACATGGGCGAGACTGATTTCGGGGCGGTTTTCAGGTTTCAGGGCTCTCTCGCGGCTGGAGCTACGCGGGTCGCGAGCGGCATGTCCACCGGGGGCACGGAACGAAACGTCGACTCGTCCAACGTCGCGTCGCTGTCGAGCCGGAATGCTCCGCCGTTCTTAATTTAGATTTAATATTAGCGCCTCGCGAAAGAGCGCCGCGCCGCGGCGCACACTGGATCCAGTCAACTAGAGACGTCGGACATGGAATTCTCAACTGACTGCAAATTTTGATGTTCGATTCGTCACATTTTAAATTTTAAGGGGTGCTTTTGAGAGAAAATTTTACGAGGAAACTAATGAAAACATTCTTAGAACGTCAAAGTTTTGTATAAACGGTCTTATAAGTGTTTAAAGTTTCCAAACTTTGTCCGTTCTCCTATTAACTCGATCCATTGTGCGGCGCGGAGTGGAGAGGCGAACGGAGGGGGCTCATCGCGCCGCGACGCTAAAGGGAGGATCGCGGAGTGTTAGGAGGATGGGTGTGGGATGAGTCTTTTGCGGCATCGCATTGAATATGACTCACGCTTCTTAGTGAACGTCACGTAGTAATAAGGACCGTATTCACAGTTAGACTACATTTCAAAGTTCGTCACAGTGCAATCGTGGCGTAGACA